CTTTTCACTTAAGTAAGCCAATAAATTCCCAATAGAATCAGGTTGGCGTTCTTGCCACAGGCAACAGAGTTACACGTGAACAGAACCCACAGCCCTGAATTCATCTGAGCCACAGTCACCATGGCAGTGACTTTACAGATGTGGCCAAGAGGCTCAGGGATGTCGGTGCCTTGCTGAGGACCATACATAGAGAAACCGGGGCCGACCAGGACTAGGACACAGGTGTACTGGCCCCATGGCCACACTCCTGTCCCTTTACTACACACCTCCCTTCATGAGGGGATGGGTACCCCAGCCTTCCTTCATGCGGAAACTGCTTCTGGATCTGCTGCTGCCTTGCTCCCCTCGTCCTGCTTTCCCTGTGCCTGGCATGGTGGGGAGGCTGTGCTCTGCTTTGTCCCTGCCACCATGACCATGTAGCCTGTCTGGGCAGGAGCCTCTCTGTTGCCTGTAAGTCAGAGAACATCCTCACTGGCCCAGGGGTTGACCTGGGACCTGCTGCCCACTTGCTTCTGCCTCGAGCTCCCAAATAAGGTGGCAGGCTGTGCCGGGCCGTGCACCGCACTGGAAGGCTGGGGAGAGAGCCAGACACGCACAACTGATTGGAGTCCCAGGCTTAGAAACGGGGGAGTGGGGAGCAGTTACTGACCCTGGGGGTGGGAAACAGGAAGTCTCCAGCTGTTTCTAGAAAGCACCTGGAGCAGCAGGTGCCTGGGTGAGGTCTTGCACGGTGCCTCTCTGAGCCTCCCCTCCTCTTGGTGCGGCAGCCTCTCCTGCGGCCCCCAGCCAGGCCCTGCCAGGACTGAGCCGAGAAGGGTGTGCGTGGTGTGAACAGGTGCTTGGGGCCAGTCAGCCTCCTCGGCTGATGCAGGTGCTGAACGGTGTTTCCACCCCACAGGGGGCCCCTTTGTTTCCGTCGGTGCAGGGACAGAGGCAAAAAGCCTGGCTTTAGAAATGGTCATCGTTGTGGCCGGCCGGGTGGCGCAGCGGTGGTTAAGTTCGCACCTTCGGCTTTGGTGGGCAAGGGTTCGCTGATTCAGATCCCCAGCGCGGACATGGCACCGCTTGTCAAGCCATGCTGTGGCAGGCGTCCCACATACAAAGTAGAGGAAGATGGGCACGGATGTTAGCTCAGGGCCAATCTTCCTCAGCAAAAAGAGAAGGATTGGCAGCAGATGTTACCTTAGGGCTAATCTTCCTCAAAAAAAAAAAAGAAAGAAATGGTCATCGTAGAATTCGGTGACTAGTGCCTGGCGTAGTTTCTAACAGCTTTATTGAGAGATAACTTACAGACTGTCCACTTCAGCCATTTAAAGTGCAGGATTCAGTGGGTTTGAGTGTATTCAGAGTCACGTAACCATCACCCACAGTCAGCTTTAGAACGTGGTCACTCTGTACCCAGCAGTCCCTCCACGTCCCTGTCGCCCCCGCCCCCGGCAGCCTCTGGTCAGTGGTTCTGTCTGTAGATTTGATTTTGCACCTTCCTGAGCTGCTCACTGAGGAAAAGCTATTAATGGAAGAGGCACTGGATTTTATTTCCAAGAGATCGTTTAGCACGTCAGAGGCAGCGGAGGGCGATGGTCCTGCCATGAACAGAGATTTGATTTACATTTCAGAAAGCTCTTTCTTCCCTTGGCATATCAGAAAAATATTTTACATTAAAAAGAGATGGGTGACATTGCCTGGAAGGGGACCTTGTCGACTGAGTCAGGGAACCTGTGAGCCGGCTGGCCGACCTTCAGCCCCTCACCCTGGGTCGCCCAACGTGAGCTGAGCCCTCCTCCCTCTGTGCCCAGCCCTGTGCTGGGGGCAAGGGCGTGGCGAAGGCCAGGGGTCAGGAAACTAGGCTGTGGGGCCAAATCTGCAGACTCAAGCTAAGAATGCTTAAAAATATATCAAAAGAACGATATTTCATGACCCATGCAGATTACGTGAAATCCACATTCCGCGCCCATCAGTGGCTTCCTCGGCCCACAGCCTCGCTCAGGTGTTTGCATGCTGTCTGTGGCTGCTTTCACGCTACACGGCAGAGTCGAGTCGTTGCGACGGAGGCTGTATTTTATGTAGAGCTAAAATATTTTCTATCTAAAATATTTTCTAGCTTTTGGTGACCTCTGAGTGAGGCATGACCTCGCTCTGGAGGGGCCCACAAGTAGAGTCAGGAAATGGGAAAGTGGTAGACGGTCAGTAAGGGTGGGCTGGAGCCAGCAAGTACCTGATCTCTGGTCAGGAGCCGACTGCTAAATTGTCAGGAATTTTGTGAGTACATTAGTTTGCTGGAGTTGCCATAACAAAGTGCTGCAGATTGGGCGACTTACACAACGGACAGTTACTTCCTCACAGTTCTGGAGGCCAGAAGTCCAAGATCAAGGTGTGGGCAGGGCTGGTTTCTCCTGAGGCCTCTCCTGGGCTTGCAAATGGCCGCCTTCTCCCTGTGTCCTCACATGCTCGCCCCTCTGTCTACATGTGCATCCTAATTTCCTCTTCTTTTTGCCTTCTTCTTCTCCCCAAAGCCCCCTGGTCCATAGTTGTATGTTCTAGTTGCGAGCGCCTCTGGTTGTGGCATGTGGGACGCCCCCTCAGCACGGCCTGATGAGCGATGCCATGTCCGCACCTGGGATCCGAACCCGCAAAACCCTAGGCCACCGAAGCAGAGCGCACAAACTTAACCACTTGGCCCCGGGGCCGGGCCCTACTCTCCTCTTCTTAGAAGGCCGCAGTCAGATTGGATTAGGCCCACGCATATGACCTCATTTACCCTTAATCACCTCTTTAAAGATCCTGTCTCCAAATATAGTCACATTCTGAGGTATTGGGTTGGGACTTCAGCATATGGATTTTGGGGGGGGGGTCTCAGTTCAACCCATAGCACTGAGCTAGTTATTAGATACAGCCATTATTAAAATTAAATTACATAAACTTGCAATTAGATAAATTAGGTTAAAGAGCAATATAATAAATATTCAAAAAGTCTATCTTACCACGTTACTAATATCCACGTTCCTGAGGCCATTTATGGCTGTCATCTCTGTGCAGTGGAAACAGCTGGATGACGGTGTGTTACTGAGCATCTCTCTCCAGTTCCGTGATCAGTAACGTCAGTTCAGTAGCTCAGAATCAGCTGTGGTGGGAGTCTAGGCACCATGGAAATTGCTAATGCTCAATGCAGGGTCCCCTCCGGCGGAGTTGGGCGTCCGACATTTACCAGCACACCACTGACGCAGGGCCCTGAGCGCCGAGACAGAGGTCAGCCTGGGCGCCATGGGCACCAGGAGAAGGCCAGGCCTCGGGGAGTCGGAAAGGCTTCACAGACTGGGGGATGCCAAGTGAACCCGGAGCGTAAGCGGGGTTGTCCAGGCATGGGGGAAGAAGGGTGACATGGGTTTGCAAAGCCCTGAGGTAGGAGAGGGCACCCTGCACCTGGGGATGTGGGTGATGGCAGGGGTGGTGCCTGAGCCACCTGCTGGGAGAAGAAGTGGGGAGTTGCGAAGGGAGGTCGGGTAGGACCTGGAGCGCCCAGCTAAGGAGGTTCCACTTGATCTGGCCGTAATGGGGAGCCACGGAGGGTCTTGGAGCCAGAGGGGCCGGGGCGGGGAGGGGAGCCCTGGCTGTCCGTGGGTTTGTGGTTATGCCTGTGTGTGAGTGTGTGTGCCAGGCGCTGTGACTTGCTTCTCTGTGTCGCCTGCCGGTGAAGGTTCTCCGTGCATGCTCGGGGAATGGTTGAATCATCCCGTTCAAGCTGAAATCTTTGACGGGAGACTCACCCCGTTCTCCAGTCAGCGTTGGAAGTGGAAATAGTGTGAATGTGGAGCCGAGGGGGCATGGTGAAATAAGTTATGGGGTATCTATACCCAGGATGCTAACCAGTCATTACAGATGGTAAATACGAAGGGTCAACAGCAGCACGGACCGCTGCTTACAGAATCATGGTGAACGAAAGTAGCGCAACATAACATTATACGTGCAGTGTGGCTGTGAAGGTGTAACAGCGCGTGTGTGTGGGTGAGACAGGCAGCATCCCCAGTGAGAAGGGCAGGCGATTGTCTCACTGGCAGGAGGGAGAGCAGTTTTTCTTTCTGTTCTGTTTTTCTGTTCTGATTTCCCTGTAATAAACGGCAGGTGCTGCAGCTCGGGGCAGGACCCCTGCGGGCAGACGGCCATCCCCGGCCGGCGGGGGGAGCTGGAGGCGGAGGGACCGGGCAGGGTCTGGGGGCCGCCAGCCACAGGAGCCTGGGCTCGGCTGCAGGGCGGCGGCCTGGCCCTCCGGCTCACCCACCCCCTGCAGCTGCCTCGGGATCTTGCTGGGAACCGGGGACCAGTCACTTCTGTCCAAGAGGGTGGCCGGGGGGCCAGTGCTGCCGCCCCTCTCAGTTCCGAGAGCTGATGCCAGCCGCGTCCCCCCCACTGGGAGCCTGCCGTGCCCCGGGCTCGGGGCTTAAGTCTGCAGGTGGCAGAGCCGGCACTTTGTCTGGCGGTGTTGGGCCGTCTGTCCCTCCCACCCCCATGGGTCCCCCTCGGAGCTTCAGAGAGTTGTGCCACCCGGCCACGCCCAGTAACACGCTGTGCTGGGATGTGTCCCTGTGTTCACGTGGGAGACTCCCCTGGGGAGGCTGCAGACCCCTGTGGCGGGACCCCTCCCCCCCTCCTTTCGCATCCCAGGTGGCTGCCAGCAGAGGCCTCGGCACACGGTGGATAGAGGGTAAATACTGTGACTGACAGAATGGAGGGAGCCTGGCGTCTGACGCCGGGTCTTGGAGTCAAGGGTGCAGGCAGTTAAAGGTCATACATTCCCAGGTCACACGCAGGAGGGGGTGGGGGGCAGGGAAGGACCCCCACCTGTTTTTGTTGGGAAGGACAGAGCAGGGGTGGGGGGTGCTGATCGGGCCGGAAACAGTAGTACCCTCGAGGCAGGCGTACCAGCTGGGAGGAGCAGGGGCGTGGGGCTGGGGGGCAGGACTCACTGTGTGTATGAGAGCCCTACTGTGCGTCCATCCGCTCAGGTGCCGGAGCCGGGGAAGCACAGGGCCGATGAAGCCAGGGCCTGTGGAGACTGCGCACTGACGGGGAGACGGCAAACCAACTAACCAGTGTGCGGTAAGTCAGGGTGACAGTGCAATGAAGAAAATGATGCAGGAGGAGGGCGGGCGATGGCGTGGGCTCTTTCACGAGGGTGGCCAAGGAAGGGGTCTCTGAGGAGAGGAGGGAACTGGAGGAGGAGGAAGTGGGGGACAGACGCGTAGTTAGCAGAGGAAATTGTGTTTCAGGCAGCAGCAGGGCCAGTGCAAAGGCCCTGAGGCTGGAATGTCTTTGTCCTTTGTGTGGTCAGAGCACAGTGAGGGGTGGGGGCAAGAGTTGGGTCACAGTGTGTATGTGTGTGTGTAGGGTCTCGTGAGGGCTTGTAGGCTCAAGTAAAGAGTTTGGCTTTTGCTCGGAGTGGGATGATAAATATGGGGGTGTTGGATGGGCCTCCCATTTGAAAAGCAGCACTTTTGTTTCTGTCTGTCAGGTGTCAGTTGGGATGCGGTGGAAGCAGTCTTGCTCAGAGGCTGTTGCGACTCACCGTGCAGGTAAGAGGTGGTGGCGACTGGCCGGGTTGGGAAGGGGCTGAGGGGGAGGCGGCGGGCAGGGTGGCCTTATGCCCGATTGGAAAGGCAGCTGGCCGGACTAGCAGGTGGTTTCATGCGCATGAGAGGGGAGTCAGGAGGCTCCGGGGGCGGGCTGCGCACCCGGCAGGAGCGCTGTGGGGATGGAGACGCGGGCGGAGACGCGGGTGGAGCCGCAGAGGCCAGTCCTGGTCTGCAGGCTCAAGCTGGACGGGCGGTGCGCACGTGGGGCCGGAGCTCAGGGCAGGGGCTGCGCCGGGCGGCGGTGTGGAATCTGATCCACACGGGGCGTTTGGAGTCTGGGGCGGGCGAGCCCGCGGGGTGAGTCCAGACAGGAGGGGACGGCGGGGTGGGGTCAGAATTCGGTGTGGCAGCCAGCACTGCGGGAATGCCAGGCGGGGGTGGGGGTGGGGGGTGGCCCCTCGAGGTTTCCTGACCCCAGCTCTAGGCTTCTTTATCCCTCCTGGGTCGCGTCCTTGGAAAGCGACATCCTTTCCATTGAGTCAGCCCACCTCTCTCCTGTGCCGCCCACCCAGCCCTCTTGAAAGAGGTCTCTGCAGTTACTGCCACCTTCATGTCCCTCATGCCTCAGTTCCTGCTGTCTGGCTTCCTCCTCCGGGACCTTTGCTTTCCTTTTCCCCAAAATTTATATAGTGCTCACCATGCACTATTCTAAGCACTTTTCATATACTGACTCATTCACTGCTCACAATATCCCTTTACAGGTGAAGGACCAGAGGCACAGAGAGGTTAAGTGATTTTCCCAAGGTCACACAGCCAGTAAGGGGAGGAACTGGGGCAGCCTGGTTCCTGAGTCGCTCTGAACCTGGATGTCGGTTGTGCCGCCCCCCTGTGGCTAGTGGCCCGCTTCGGTTCTCACTGCATCCGCTTGGCTCCCTGAGCCCGGCAGCCCCCCGCTTGGTCTCCTTGGCCGTCCCCCCGCACCTCCTCCTCTCTGCTCCCGCACCGTTTTTCCTGGAGCCTCTTCAAGACTGGCTGTGGAATCGCATCCCTCTCCGCAATGCAGGTGTTGAGTTCCAGACCTCACGTTCAGCTGGACACCTCCCCCTGGCTGTCCCCCGGCACTGCCCCAACTGCACGCCAGCCAGGCTCGTGGTGCGCTGTCCTCGCTCCGGGCGCCGGTCAGACGTCCAGGCTGGGCCTCTGTTATTCCGCGCGCGGCCAGGCGGGGGAGTCCCGCCCTCCTGTCTATGCACCGCACCTTCCGCGCGTCCTGCTGCCGTCCGTCCCCTCCCGCGCGCGCTCCCAGCCCGCCCTTGCCCCGTCCCGGCGCGGGGCACGGCAGTCTCCCTCGGATTATGGCCGCGCTCGTGGTCAGGCCGCGCGTCCCCGCCTTGCCCTCCTCCACTGCTCTATCCACAGAGCATCCGGGATGATCCTGTAGAAAGCACATCGGGTGCTGCCCCTGTGTTGCCACTGCTCGTCCTGCAGGAGCCCCGGCGCCTCCCGGCTTCCCCGCGCCCGCGCTGCCTGCCCCTCCCTGGGCTCCAGGGCTCGCACGCGCTGCCTCTGCTCCCCGCCTTGCCTGCCCCTCACCCCCTGTCCAGCTCTGCTCTGTCGCGTCTCAGCCTCGAGGTCACTTTCCCCCGGAGCCTCCCCAGACCCCGCGAAGCTGGATCAGGGGTCCTCTCTTCTGAGCGTTTATCAAGCAGAATCGTACCTGTCACTTTTCTGACCCCTCCCCTGGATTGTAAGTCCCCTCAGGGCGGGGACAGGGTCTACTGCCCCCTGGGTATCTTCAGCCAGTATCTGGCAAGGGGCAGGCACTCTGGATTCTCTCAGTAAACGTTTGTTAAATGAATGAATGAGTGAATGAATGAATGAATGGTTGACCTGGGGTCAGTGGGTCTCTGACACAGTAGCAAGAGGGTCTTGCTGGTGGGGATTAAGAGAGGATGGTTGTGGAGCCCAGGCCCCTGAGGGGCTGGTCGGTAAATGGGGCTCACTGCCTCTGCCCACTTTCTTCCCTCTGCTCTCTCCTGACGTCCTGGCTAACTGGTGGATGGCTGTAGCTGCTGAGTTGACTGTTAGGTCCGTCCCGCCGCCCTGCTCATGCACAGGCCCTTCTGGAGACTGTCCCGTAGCCAGGAGCGTCAGGCCTTTGGGGCCTGGAACCCGAGCCGAAGTCGGAGTCCTCAGGGCATGCCGGCTCTTCCTTGCACAAGTGTCCCCAAGCTCTGGGCCAGGCTGTGCTCCCTGCCCAGGACTCAGAGAGGACACAGACGGCAGCCGGTGCCCGAGGCGTCTCCTTGGGTTCCTGCAAGGTCAGGGAAGTCTCACATCTACTGGCCAGTGCACAGTTTATTTCTTTTTCAATTTTCTTTGGAACCTGTGCTTGTCCAGATGTTCACATGACGTGGTGGGAAATGAGTTTTATGAAGCTGCTGGCAGAGTACCATTTGGCATCCCTGTGGTTCTAGAGATTTCTGGGGCCCTGGGGCTGGGCTCCAGCTGCAGTCAGCTGCCTGCCTTCTCCCAGCGTTTAGCTTTTGAGCCCGGCAGTGTCCTCGACCCTAAACGTGGGAGTGACCTCATGACACCGGCCCTTCAGTGACCACCAACAAACTGTTCCTGCCTGTGGGTGCAATGCCTGTTGTTAATAGCCAAGCTCTTGAGAAATTGTAGGGCTTCTACTTCCTTTTGAACGGAAGACTTCTAGAAATATTTATATCTTTGCTTCTATAGATCCAGGAAGTCATCTTAGCCCAGAGGAGGTCAGCAGGTGGAGTGGGATCGCCTAGGAGACAGCTGCAGTGACATCATGCACTGCGCGCGCAGGTGTACTCACGGTACGCTGAGCACCGAGGGATCTGAGCTCTGTCCCAAACCCTCACTGAGTTCTAGCTAAAAGTGACATGGTCATTTGTGCATTTCAGAGAGGTCAGAGCGTGGTGGATTACGGCTGTGTGCTTTCAGTCTTTCGTTTTGCAGACACCCAGGCTACACCCTCACAGCCAGTGCCACGAAGCCGCAATCACTCTTACTATGTGCAGTGCGTTCCAGTGTTTTCTGTTCTAATCCTGTTTCATTTGTTTTTCTAAAAATGCTGTTTGCAACCCTCTCCATTGATTTCCTGTCTCCTGAATGTTTTTAATGGCAGTTTGAACAGCGCTGGATTGGAGAGAGGGAGACAGGAGGCAGCCTGGGCGGAGGGTGCTGTCACTGTCCAGCCAGGAAGCAGCAGGGGCATGGGGCGCCGGGCCCCCGGGGCAGACAGCGTGAAGGTGCCATTATGGTGGGCATCGGCCCCCGGGACTGTGCTCGGTGCCTCCAATCTGACGTGGGGGAGCTCCCGTAGCAACAAGAGGGGGCCTGTGATTGTGTCGTGTTGGGGATTCAGAAGCTGTGGTTTCATAACTCAGACACGCTGCATGGTGTCTGAAAGTCGTTTCATTAAATATCGCGTGGAATCAAAATAGAAATTACATCTTTGGGACAAAGCCATTCAGCCAGGAGCCAGGCATTCTGAATTGGAACCAGAATAGTCTCATGGAAGCTGGAACTGTGGATCCAAGGCAGCCCTGTCTATACAGCCAGCCTCTCCCCTGGCTCACATCTGAATTCCCAGCAGTGCAGGTGGTCCGGGAGCCCAGTCCACTTGCAGGAATCAGAGGCAGCTGAGGGGGGAACGGTGACAAGAGCCCTGCTTTGTTACACTTCAAGGTACCTGCACCAAACCGAATAGTTACATATATTGTTGCTGACCCTCATCCGCCTTCTGGGAGGGATGTCTAGGTGAGGACGCTGAGGCTGAGAGGTCACCATATTGGCCTGAGATCACACAGCTGGTGAGAGGCAGAGATGGGGTTTGAGGGGCCGGCCCCGTGGCCAAGTGGTTAAGTTCGCTCACTCCGCTTTGGCGGCCCAGGGTTTCGCTGGTTCGAATCCTGGGCACGGACATGGCACCGCTCATGAAGCCATGCTGAAGTGGCGTCCCATGTGCCACAACTAGAATGACCCAGAACTAAAAATACACAACTGTGTACCGGGGGGCTTTGGGGAGAAAAAGGAAAAATAAAAATGTTTAAAAATAAATAAATAAATGGGGTTTGAATTCCAGGCCACTTCCACACCCGTCTTCCTTTCTGCCTTCTGAGCTCCCTCTCCTCCATTGCTCCTGGGTTTTGCAACTAGATGACCGAAGTCGAGAGACATGTACCAGTTAAATCCCACTGTCTAGGGGAGGGGATGGGCCTCTGGGCATGTTTAAAGCTCCCAGGCAATCCTAATGTGCAGCGGGGGCTGGGAACCACTGCTCTACAAGGTTGGGAAGGGATGCGAGTGGGCTTTGAGTCTGCCATCTGCCCCAGCCTCCGCGGGGTGGTCCGGCCGTTCAGCCAGTGCCTGAGCAGTACCTCTTCTGCAGCCTGGTAACCCAGACCCTGCAGCCCTGTGAGTTCTTACCCCCCACCCCTGCCCCCAGCCCTGAGCTCATCCCCCAACCCCTGCTCCCAGGTGTGTACTCATCCCCCCAACCCCTGCCCCTGGGGGTATGCTCACCCCCCATCCCTGCCCCCACGTGTGTACCCTTGCTCCCAGGGGTGTGCTCACCCCCCCACCCCTGCTCCCAGGTATGTGTTCAAGCCCCCCTGCCCCTAGTTGTGTTCTTAACACCCCCCTGCTCCCAGCTGTGATCACATCCCGCCCCCCAAACCCCCAGGTGTGTGCCCATGGCTCCACCCCGTCCCCAGGTGCGTGAGAGAGTTCTAGTTGCTTCACAGCCTCGTGTGGCCAGTCTTTTTAAAGATTTTATTTTTTCCTTTTTTCTCCCCAAAGCCCCCCCCAGGTACATAGTTGTATATTCTTCGTTGTGGGTGCTTCTAGTTGTGGCATGTGGGAGGCTGCCTCAGCGTGGTCTGATGAGCAGTGCCATGTCCGCGCCCAGGATTCGAACCAACGAAACACTGGGCCGCCTGCAGCGGAGCACGCGAACTTAACCACTCGGCCACGGGGCCAGCCCCCAGTCTTTTTAATTTCAGCCATCCCAGTAGGTGTCAGGTGCTCCCTCTGTGGCTTTAATTTGCATTTCGCTAATGACTGATGACACAGCATCTTTTTATGTGCTTATTTTCCAGACATGGATCTTCTTTGGTTAATTGTCCATTCGAATCCTTCGTCTTATTAGGTTGTAAGGGTTCTTTGTATAGTCTGGATACAAGTGCTGTGTTAGATACATGGTTTGTAAATATTTGCTCCAGTCTGGGCCTTCCCTTTTCGTTTTCTTCACAGTGTCTTGAAAATCAGAGATTTTTAATTTTGATGAAGTCCAATTTACTGGGGTTTTTTCTTTTATAGTTTGTGTGTCTCCTGCTTATAGTTTTCTTTTATAGTTTTTGTGCGTCCTGTTTAAAAAATCTTTCCCAACTTTAAGATCATGAGGATTTTCTCCTATGTTTTCTTCTAGAAGCTTTGTAGTTTTAGCTCCTGCGTTTAGGCTTCTGATCCACTTTCTGGTTCACTTTTGTGTGTGGTGTAAGGTAAGCGTTGTGGTTTATCTTTGCAGATGGCTATCTTTGAGGTGGTTTCGAAAGAAGGAGGATGTGCCAGCTTCTCTGCTGTGTTCAAGCTACAAGGCCCTGTTGCCCTGGGGTTTCTTTAATAGGCAGGTTTACATTCTCCAGTGGGGTGGAGTCTTGTGAAAATGGGAAGATAAATTACCAAGAAATAAATAAGCTACATGTTTTGCATATCTGAGTGTCATGTGTTAAGTTGCAGCCTGGCTGCGTGAGACTCTGCGCTTGGTTTCTTCGCTCTGCGTGCTTGTTCTGCAGACGAAGGAAGGAACTCAGTTCCTCCATCCCTCTGGCCGCTCGCAGAGGAGGCAGCCCGGAAGGCTCAGAGCAGGGGAGCGCAGGCTGGAAGCAGAGGGAGCTGGGTGTGTCCCCGCTCAGGCCCTCAGTGCTAGGCCACCCTTCTAGAAGTGCTGGTGGACGCAATAGCTGGTCTCCCACCCCACACTGCGGCCGGGTTCTGGGGTTTTCCTCCACCTTTTCTAATTCCTTCCCCTCTTCTATTTCAGGGAAAGTGTTTCCTTTCCGCCTCAGTACTTCTGATCCTCGTTTGGCTGGCCGCAGCCGCTGAGCCATGAACCACTGGGCCTAGCCTGAGTGATGCCATCCCCCCTCTTTCCAGTCTTCTCCAGCACATGGGTTTCCTCCAGGACACAGCGAAGAGTTCTCTCAGAGCCGGAATCCCCCAACTGAGGAAGTGACACTGAGCCAGGGTTACGTGACTCCCATGGTACCTCCAGGGCGGTGTAATTATGTTGTGAGTTTCTCCCAACAACATTGGCTCTGCTTTAAGTATAAGAAGCCCAGAGAGGTTGTTCAACTTGTCCAAAGTCACACAGGCAGTCTTCCAAACCAGGTTGTCTGACTCCAAGCCCCCACCCCACGCTGCTCTCCGTCGACGTGGTTCCTCTGGCCGGGGTCTGCTTGGGTCCATGGGAAGGTACCCCAAGGAGCCTGTCTACACTTTGGAAATATACCCACTCTCAAAGATAAATTTTAAGCCAGTTTGTAATGGAAGAGGGATATGCACAATCTTCTTAGAGGGAGAACAGCTCCCAAGCCTATAAGATCTAAAGGGAGCTGAATAAATGCTGTGAGCAAAGAGAGAGGCAGGGTCCTTGGTGGGGGTCCCCACCATGGTTCCTCTGGGATTAGGCCCCTCTGAGCCATGTGGAGAGCTGGGGACAGCCCCCAGGGCAGTGTGCCTCCTAGAGGAGTGCTCACGGAGAGGTGCAAGGAAGAGAGAATGGAGGTGCAAGAGGAGGCCCTGTGTTGGATTCTGGAATGCAATGATAAACAGTGGGGAGGGGGCTGGTCCTGAGCTCAGCCCTTTGACTGTACTGGGATTTCCCCCAAAGGCCCAGGGCGAGGGGCTGCAATAGAAGGACAAAGAGTATGGACAGTGGACTTGGAGGAGGGGGAGGCTGAGCTTCAGCAGCCTGGAGGGCCAGGACCGCCCACACCAGGAGCAGGAGAGGAGAGCCACAGAGAGGCCAGGTGAGAGCACTGTGCCTGATGCCTCAGGACCCCCAGGCCCTGTGACAGAGAAGGGTCTGGGGTGGCAGGTGGAGGTAAGACTGCATCTCTGGGAGAAAGTAGTCCCATCCTTGTCACAGCTCAGTTGTTCATTGTCAGTGAAAAACCTGGCTTCTAGTTTATACATCAGCCATACGAGCTTTGCTAATGTGAGTTTTCCCAGCAAGCTAATCTGTGCTCTGGTTCCTGCACAGCAGTGAGGTTTCTGGGTGGGGTCAGCTGAGGGGTAAACGCTGCCTCGGGAGTCTCTTGGAGGACAACCAGCCAGTTTCAGACACCAGCCACATAGCTGGTCATGTTTAGTTCAAGCACAAAGATTGTGAAGCCCCATGATGAAAAGGCAGATGAATTCCAGTCGACCCAGGCTTTTCGCCAGCCTTTGCAGCCACGGCTGGGACTGGGGTTGTGATGCGAGCTGGGAGAGACCCACCTTATCCAGGCCGTCCCTCCTGTGTGTGGGGGAAGTGCTGCTAGGGGCCTGCTCATTCCTCCTTCCTACCGGCCACATTTTCAGCACAGCCATGCTGTGTGCGGGACTTGCCCAGAGCCCTGCGAGGGACAGAGAGATGGATCCCATCCAGTTCTTGACCTTGAGGCCCTGGGGGCGGTTTGTCTAGAGGGGCTGAGGGGGCAGGAGAACCGGCCCTGTTGGGGGTGGGGACAGTGGTGAGGGAGCGTTGGCCCTGCCCTGGACTCACCTGGCTGCACCTGCTGCTTCTGGCTTTTCTCACTCCGAGGGTGGTCCCCGCAGGCTGGATTTCCATAAATTCCATAAATGTGATAATCAGTCTGTTCTGAAAAGCAGTTCTGGCTTACATTGTTTTTGGAAGTTTTGACCGAATGCACACAAGGAGCTAGATTAAATTAAAACAAAATTGCAATCGCTGAGTTAATGACTGTGACAATACAGATAATTCACAACCAAATTAATGCAATATTAGGTCTCATCATTATACTAATAATCTTCGCACAGCAAAATAGAAACAACAGTTGTTTGGGGAGGAATGATTCATTTCACGGGGAATCAGAGTTTGGGGAAAGTCTCAGAATTTGCTGCTGTGATCTGAGAAGGCAGAGGAGCTAAGATTTCTGAAGTGCCTACTGTGTGGGAGGATGCAGGGGGCGACAAAGAGACAGTCCCTCCTCCCAGGGCATGCCAGTTCACCTGGTGGGGACAGCCTTCAGTGACTAAGGTGAAGTGGCCTTGAGAGGAAGAGTGCCATAGGGAAGGCTTCCTGGAGGCGGGGGCACTGAGCTGAGCCTGGAGAGATGAGTAGGATTCATGGGGTCTCGTCTGCCCTGCTCGCCTTGCTTTTCTCTGCAGCCAGCTACAGTCTGGCTCTTGTCCCCTTTCCACTTCTGAAATGCTCTTATCAAGTGACCTTCCTGTTGCCAGATCCGCTGGTGGGTCCTCGGTCCTCATCCTCCCTGACTCCTGGCAGCCCGTACTCCTGGAAGCTTCCATGGCCTCTGGGGCTCCCATGGGCTTCGCCAGCTCCCCTTCTTGTCTCCTCTGCTGGACCGCCCCCCCCCCGCCCCCGCAACTTGTGAACCTGTGGGCTCCAGGGCCCAGCCCTCCCCTCCTCTCTCCCGACTCGCTGACTCCCGCTGATGACCCGCACACTCAGTCCAGGCCTGGCCCTCCCAGCAGCCACACGCAGGTGTCTCACTGCCTACATGCTGCCTCCCTGGATGTCTAATATTTTTTAAAGCCAGATTTCATAATACAGAAAAATGCACACATCGTAAGAGCAGAGCTGGATGCTTCTCCATAAAGTGAATGCACTTGGAGCATCGGCCCCTAGATCAGGAAAGAGAAGGCTGCAGCACAAGTAGTGCACGAGGATGCCCCTCCTGGCCCCTCTGTGCCTCACTGCTCGGTGTGGCCATGTCCCGACTGTCACCTGGGAGGGTCTTGCCGGGTCTGGTACCACATGTAAGTGGAATCATAGGACATCTGCTCCAGCGTCTGGCTTCTTTGGCTCCACGCCATGCTGGTGGGACTCGTCTGTGTTGCCGTGTAGCTGCAGTCCAGCCTTTCCGTTGCTCTGGGGGTATTCCGTTGTACGAATATACCGCGGTTTATTCCTTCCACTCCTGATGGGCATTTGTGTGGTTTCCATTTTTAGGATAATGAGTAATCCTGGTGGAGGGGCTAAGGGCTCAGTTTTACTTCTTATCTGCAAACGTCCTGTCCTGCAGGGCTGAGCTTGACGTGGCGGGGGAGGGTGAAGGTGGCACCTGTGTTTGAACGGGGACCTGCCAGGCCTGGGCCACAATAGAGTGCCTACTGTTGGGCTCTCAGGCACCAGAGCTGGCCTTCATATTTTAAATAAAAGAGTGCATGAATTAATGAAGGGATAAATAAATAAATGAATGCATGAAAGGAGTGACAAGTGAATGAATGAATGCATTCTGAGAAGAATGCCATTGCATGCCGCTTTGTGTCCAATACCGTGCTGGTCATTTTCATAAACGCTACCGTATCTAATCCTTGTCACAGTCCTTTGAGATGGGATTGATTACCTTGATTTTATGAATGAAAAAACCCTCAAGGCTCAGGGATCCAGGTCATTTAACTTCTCTGGGCTCAGTTTCCCCATCTGTAAATTGGCAACAGTAGGTCTCCGCGGGTTGCTGAGAAAATGAGTGAGAGACTGAGTCATCTTCATGGTTCGAGGTCACATGGCTTGTAAGTGGCAGAGCCGGGATTTGAACCCAGGAACCTTGGGTCATCCCACTGCACCATTTCCCCCACTCCACACCACCTGCCTTCGGGGGCTTTGGGAGACTGAAGGGGTCGTGGCTGAATCTTTTCAACCCCAGCACATCTTCGTCTCTCCGAGCAGCAGGGCGTGAAGGGCTGGTCCCCGAGTTGCCTCTGTCCTCTCCTGCCTGGAGTCGGGGCAGTGATGACACAGATGGGTTTGGACGCAGCCCTGGGATCTGGCGCCCTCCCTCGCTAACCTTCCTTGTCCAGAGGAGGAGATTAGTGTACAATTGCATGGTCTCTGCTCACTAATTTCATTTTCTGTGTCTGGAGTAATAGGGCCTCTTGAACTCATTATGCGAATTTAAATTCAAATAATAACCAGCTTAGCGAGTGCCTCTGGAGCTCAGGCTGGGGCTCTGCCCTGAGCAAGGCCTGGCTGCTCCCGGCAGAGGGAATGGCTCCGTGGTTCCAAGGAGCAGCCTCCTTCCCCAGGAGCACGGGGTCAATCAGCCGATCAGTCAGCTGTGACCAAGCTGAGGCCACACTGACTCAACCGGGGCAGGCCCAGGAGAGCCCCTCTCAGTGCCTTCACCTTCAGAGAACCAAGTAGTAATTAGAACAGTGACCCATGAAGAGCCATGCCTGGAGGCCTGGTGGGGGCTTAGCCTTTTGGATGGGACAGTCTCTGGGCTTCTTCCATGAATTAGTCATTTATATCACACTCTTGGGCCAAGAGATGGATGTCAGTTTTGAATGGGGACCAAGTCTGGCCTTACTTTTTATTTACATCTGGTCCTGAGAGGTGAGGTGGGGGTGGGTGACATTTTCAAAAGAGTCATGGCCCCAAGCAAGACAAGAACCACATCCCTAGTGAGTGGAGCCATCCTTAGTTCAAGCTTGAGTGGTTGAAGAGCTGTGAACAGTAGTTACCATGTGCTCTGGGGGCTGAGACAATGAGCAAAGCTCCCTGGGCATCTCAGACTCCCGGAGGATCCCAGGAGGTTGCGTCCACGTTCACTCCTCATTGATTTCCTCACTGAATTCCTTGTTTCTTCCAGAGACTGCTCCCCTTGGCTAACAGTGTTCACCTCGGGTCTACTCCTGTATCTAATTCTCGGGAGACTGAGGCCAACCCTGCTCGGGTTTCTCCTTCCATTCAGTTCCACCAACAGCCCTGGGCCAGCCTCTGCACTGGTGACACTGAGATCAGACTCAGGGTCTTTCCGTGAGGACCTCGCAGAGAGGCAGGTCTTAGAGGGATGTTTTCCAAAGCTGGATTGTAACAGTGCGACCACAGAAAAACAGCTCCAGAAGGAAGAGGAGGCCTGGGGGTCAGTGGACTGAAGCAGTTCAGCGGGCTGCCTTCCCGCAGGACTGCTCAGAGCCTTTATGGCTGCTGGGCGGTGTAGAAGGGGGCGCTTCTCAAACATACACATGCATCGCCTTCACTGCATGTGAGCCACATGGCAGCCTGGACCAGACCCTTCCCCAGCCCTAGGAGGTGGGCA